GTTTCAGCACCAGTGCTTACACTGCCAGACGACAGTGGTATCTATGATGTGTATAGCGATGCGTCAAAGCATGGTTTGGGGTGTGTGCTTTTGCAAAATGGGAAGGTAATTGCATACGCATCAAGGAAGTTATAGACCCATGAAGTGAATTAACCAACCCATGATTTAGAACTTGCTGCGATTATCTTTGCACTAAAGATCTAGCGTCATTACTTGTATGGAGTAAAATGTAAAATTTTTACAGCCCATAAGAGCTTAAATTACATTTTCACTCAAAAGGATTTGAACTCTCGACAAAGGAGATGGTTGGAATATACGACAGATTATGACCTGGACATACAATATCATGAATGGAAAACAAATATAGTTGCAGATGCTCTAAGTCGTAAGACCAGTCACGGATTAAATACCTTGATAGTGACTGATGAGTTATATAGGGAAATGAGGAAAATGAACTTAGAAGTGGTAGAATGGGAAGTACCAGCTGGCATTATTCCGAGTCTGACTATCCAACCAACCATATTCGACGAGATAAGGGAAAACCAAGCAGGAGATGTGAAATTGGATAGGATCCGAGAGAAAATAAAGCAAGGCAAAGCTTCCTATTTCAAAATTCATGAAGATGGAAGTTTGAGGTATAAAGGTCGATGGTGTGTACCTCTAAAGTGTGAGGAAGTGAAGAGAAAGCTAATGGAAGAGGGGAATAATACGCCCTATTCAGTACACCCAGGAGGGGATAAGCTATATAAGGACTTGAAAAGGGTGTATTGGTGGCCTAGAATGAAGAATGAAGTTGCGGAATTTGTAGCAAAGTGTCTGTCTTTCCAAAAAGTGAAAATAGAGCACAAGAGGCCACAGGGAACGGTGCAACCATTGGAAATTCCTGGATGGAAGTGGGATTGCATTTCAATGGATTTTGTGACTTGCCTTCCAAAATCAAAGGGTGGAAATGACACCATTTGGGTAGTGGTGGACAGACTGACAAAATCTGCGGTTTTTATACCAATGAAGGAGACTTGGAAGATGGAGCAACTTGCAAAAGCTTACATCAAGAACGTTGTGAGGTTACATGGAATTCCAAAGGATATTGTGTCTGATAGAGATTCCAAGTTTCTTTCAAAATTTTGGAAAAGCGTACAGGAAAACTTTGGTACGACACTTAAGATGAGTACATCGTTTCACCCTGCCACAGATGGGCAAACAGAGAGAACCATTCAAACCTTGGAGGACATGTTAAGAGCTTGTGTTATAGACTTCAAAGGAGGATGGGAGGATAGCTTGGATTAAAAAGTGTGTTTGATTGTTGGAATAATTATTGTTGATTGAATGATTATGGTTTGAGGGTCATCACTGTGTTTAATAATCTGTAAATAACGTATAGTGAAAGAGATTACGCACCAAAACTCTTGGAACGTATATACCTCGAGTATGAACATATGGAGGGGAGTTATGGGGTTTTATATTTAACCATAGCTTCTAATGGAGTACAGGACGTTGTACATCCTTTTATTATTATTATGCGCAGGAATTCCGCCACCTATGTGTGGTTTTTTATGCTGGCACGGTTAGCTCCCGTGTCAGTAACCTCAATTTATTGGGGGAGGTTAGTGGGAAACCCGTTCGATGCGTAATCAACGCTAAATAAATTATTTTAGGTGTTGAAGCATATTCATGAATGGGCATGAGTGAAGAGCGTATTATGCTAGTTTCCATAAGTATATGATGTTTTTATCGCTTTAGCTATTTATGATAATATTACTATGCGTGACTAACGAAAAGGGTTTTGAGTTTGGTTTGGTTTTAATAAGGGCCTATAATGGTTCCAAGTTGTAGGTTGATTTTATTTTACTTTGTTTGACTTTACTTTCGTTGATTGACTTTTCAAGTTGACTTGTTTTGAAAGGTTTTGAAATTAACCTTCCGTTGTGTGTCTTTGATAATTGCCTTAGCCGTTATCACGGTGGCGGTAATGTCTTAGATATTCCTATTTAAAGTTTTATACAAGGCAAAACAGGTATTTCAAAAGAAAGGGATTTCTAGGGTGTTACAATCAATGTCTCAAATATGATCGCGAGGGGAACCAGCTCCAAAAGCAATTATAACACACTCTAACCACCCATATACAACAAAAAGATTCACTAACAACAAAGTAGAAATTAAGAGCATAAAAATCAAACACAAATAAGTTACTAATAATAAAGTAACAACCAAAGAACCATGACATAGAAAGGAGGAAGTAATTGAGATATCATTTAGTCTTTCGATTTACTTAAAAATTTAATTGATTTACTTTTACTTAGTTTCTATCTACATTTGAAATTGATAATATAATAGGATTCATTGGGGCATTTTGTCGAACATTTAGTGTGCATTCGCTTGATTTTGCTTAAATTTTGATTAAATGTAAACACAAATTATTGAATACAAATAACAAAATTTAGAAATTGAATGGAAGTGAATTCGCCAAAATTTCGAGCAAAACTAATCAGAATCGAGCCTTAAATTTCTTTATAAAAAAATTGAGCCTTAAATTGACAAAATAAAAAATCCAAAGAGAAGGAATTTAAAACGTTGAATTGAAATCCTACCGGTATTTGACTGAAAATTTGAGTCACAATTGGGAAACTTGGAAGCTGGATTTGGAGAGAAATTATGTTCTTGAGGAGAGAGAAAGTACTATGAGTTTGTGAGAAGGGATGAACGAGATTATCAATTTCCAACACAACACGCACAACTACATCTTAATCGTTTTCTCAGATCTAACGGTCCATATTAGTTCCTAGTTCCTATTATAGACTAGGTTCTCATTATAACCTGGTCATATATATATATATATATATATATATATATATATATATATATATATATATATATATATATATATATATATATATATATATATATATATATATATATATGGACATGCTATTCTTTTTCTTAAAAAAATCTCGTTAAATTCTATTATTGGAAATTTTCATTTGACTTAGCTTAGGCATTTTGTGTACAAAGACAAGTATTCTTTAACTATCATATATACATCCGATCATAGATCCAATATGTATTACTTTATTTTTTCAATTAAAGAAATTCAAAAGGAGGATTTTCAATGCGAGATTTCAAAACATACCTTTCCGTGGCACCGGTCCTAAGTACTTTATGGTTTGGGTCTTTAGCCGGTATATTAATAGAAATCAATCGTTTTTTTCCAGATGCGTTGACATTCCCCTTTTTTTCATTCTAGTTATTAATACGGAAAGGGTTTAGCGAAGATTCGAGATAGAAGCAACTACCTGTGAATAATCCCTACCCTTTTTTATTTATTCTAAAAAAGAGGGTTAGTTTAGTAAAGAAGAAAAGTGGATTCAACCTTCCAAAAACTTAGGTTCAGGTTAAGTTAAGAGTTTTCTACACGATATTTAAATGAAATACTATGATTAGAGAGATATCCAGTTAGAAACCCTTTTGAATTTGATTACGCAGTAGTTCTTTACTTAACTATTATTACTCTATTGATTTCCACAAAATCTTTCGAATTGCGAATTGTATTTCTAGTTAGCAACTTCTATTTTAGCAACTTTTCTATTTTTCTTGAAGAAGGGAAAAAATGGAAAAGTTGCTTGAATTAAATACCAAAAGGGGGTTCATGGCTAAGGGTAGAGATGTCCGAGTAAAGGTTATTTTGGAATGTACTAGTTGTGTTCGAAAGAGTGTTAATAAGGGATCAAGGGGCGTTTCCAGATATATTACCCAAAAGAATCGCCACAATACGCCTAGTCGGTTGGAATTGCGAAAATTCTGTCCCTATTGTTCCAAACATACAATTCATGGAGAGATAAAGAAATAGATCAAACTGAACGTCTGTTTATTATCCCTTCAAGTAAGGAGACAAAACAATTTTCATTTTTCATTATATAAGAAATATATATATTATTTACTCTTTTTTTTACTAGAAAATATATTTTCATATTCAATATTTCATAATTATTATATATAATATATAAAATAGAAATAAACAAAGAAAATCCTATTTTGGCTGGACCTAAAAAAAAATTCGAATTAAGAAATAGGATTTTTGGTATAAGTAATAAACTAAACAAACTATGGATAAATACTCAACTTCTTCTTTAGTAGGTTAGGTTCATCTACAACATCTGGTGGTGCCCTCGTGGGCACGTTCCTCTCTGGGGCGGTCTGGTCTAATCGAAGTCAACTGACTTACATGGAATACGGGGTGAGTTTTCACCGAGCTGGTCGCTTGTGTCTATAGGCGATCTTTTCTATCCGCTTCTCTACAGGGTCTACTTTCTTCTTTCTTCAGACCGGGCTAAGCCTTTAGGTTCTTTAAGTAGGTTGGGTAGCTTCTGCTATCCTCCTGCCACCTCTTGGCAAAGTAGGCTGATGGGCAAGCTCCCTCCTGTCGCAACGGTGCGGGGCGTCAGAGGTTGTTGCCCCGTGGCAAACTCGAAGGGGCTGAAGTTCGACGCAGAGCTTTTTGGTTGTTAAGTTATAGTAGTACTGAGCAATATCCAACAGCTCCAGTCCTTCTGGTTTGCATTAAAGTTCCTTAAGTAGCCTTCGAGGAATCCATTTTTCTCTCCGTCTGAGCTTTCAAAGATATACCGACCGTCGGTATCTGATGGTCAGATACCGACAGTCGTCTTCTAACATTACCTACTTTTAAGGGTTTTCAATTAAATAATGTCCATTATGTATTAAAAAATATGGCTTATTATCATTAGTGTCTCACATGGTTAAGGAATCTAATATAAACTATATTCATTGATTATCACATTCAAAATATGATATGATTAATACAAATAGAAGATATAAAATTAATAAGATTATCATATTATTAAGATAAAACTGTTCAAAGAAACACTCCATATAGTCATTGAAAAACTCATAATGTAGACAATTTATTTTGTATTCAAAATTCTAACATTATTAAGAGGTCCTAATTTTTTTTTATTATATAAAACATTAAAAGTAGCTGAAAATAATCATCCATTGTTGGTATTGTCTTCCTTTTCAATCTTAACCACGACCTTCTTTTTGTTAGTAGAGCGTTGTGCCGAACTTGTTTCATCGTCAATCCCTACATTTGTAGCATCATCAAGAGGTCTTTTTGTTGGAGTGATAAAGGATACATTAGGATTTTCATTATCACATACAACGGTGGCCAATTCCTACAAAACACAAATAAGGAGTATATATATCAATACATATTAAAAAAAAAAAAAAATTAAAGTATAGAATTGTGGTAGATTTTTAATATATGACCTTATCTTTCACGACCGAAGATTTACTTGATTCATCAATAGACTCAATCTCCACATCCTTTTCCTGAAACATGATAAATTAAATAATAGCTTAAAGCTTTATTAAGGATAAATATTTATTGAATTTAATAACATGAATTATTGAATTATTGATTACCTGCAAACCACCATTGACATCCAAGAATGATTTGATCAATTGTTCATCATCACTTATTCTTAGAACAATATACTTATCCCAACTATGACTAAGATTGTATTTAGAGATATGAAATCGGAACAACAATTTCCTATTGATAAGCATGTCAAGTTCTTCCAGAAATGATGAATCATCTTTGCCATCCTACAAATATATAAAATATATATATTTGTCACAATTATTAAAGAATCAATCGAAGCAAACAATTTAGAATAGTTGATAATTACTATCATTGGTCAAAACTATCATAATGAGTATGTACAAAGTCAACATTATATGTGATTAAAATTATACACCTTTGATAACTTCTCTTTCAAATCCACTGCAGATATTTGCAAAATTTGATAAACTTCCCGATCAAACATAACAAAACTGGCAGTTCCACTATCATCCTCTACTATAATTGTAAGTTTATACCTATAGAAAATGTTATTGGAACATGACATAAGTTGTGTTTTTTTATAATAAATCCTAATAAAAGTTTAATATCAATGTAACACCAATTACCTTGGTGGTGCAGATTTGACGTGTGAGTCACATTTTTTGCACCAGTATTTTCCACCACCTTCATAGTCAACCTTTTTGTTACAATTCTTGCATGAGTTATAATACCACTTGCTATCATATTTGATAGCAATAAATAGTAGCATAAGTCACACAAAAGCATTCCTATGTAAAAAAAATATTTAAAAAACTTAATAATTTATTATAATTAATGTCAATATATTTCCATCAGAAAATTTTGAATTATAAAACTTATATGGTTTACCTCATTAGTCTCATAAATCTCGTCTAGTTGCTTTCGTTCAATCAAATTAAAGAACTCATCTGATATTGGATGTGAATTTTGACTTGACAAGTGACTTATTACATGCGATTGTAAAAAAATTTTCACCTTGAACGCTAAAAAAATATAAAAAATGTATTATTTTTAATTAAATTGGAAAATAATTATAATGTACAATATGATAAACAATATCTAATACCTTCGTTCATTACTAATGGGGTTTTAGTATCGGAAAATTTAGTATCAGAAAATTTTTCTGATACTATGAAAGTCAATAGTATCGGATAATTTTTTTCTGACACTACTTTCTAGTTGTTTACACAAACTAAGTATTAGAATTAAGTATAGCGTCGGAAATTTTTTTATTCGATACAAATGAAATATTAGTATCAGATACATTCCGATATTAATAGTCCTTTTACTATCGAAAATGATGTTGTTACATATAGACATTTTTTGTAACAAATCTTTCCGATACTAAAGCCAATTATTAGCACATATCAGATTTGGCGGTATAACAAAATTTCAGAATTAGCAACTTGGCGGTACATTAAAATTTTAGGGAAGTTAAATATCCCTTTTTTATTCCTCATTATATTTGTTTTTTTAATTAATAATATCGTTCTCTATCCCTCTCATCTCCTCAAGCCTCAAATCTCTCTCCTCTGTTTACTCTCCACTCTTCGCTCTCTCCTCTCAAGCTCTCCTCAAAGATGAAGGCAACCACATTCACAACCACCGCCGCTCACAAATTATATCTCCCCTTTTCTTTTCGTTCTCTCTCTTCTAGCCGCCGTTTACTCTATCAATCATTTTCTAGGGTTTATCGCCATTGTTATACCTTTATATCTCAAATCTAATTAATCACCTTCCTCTGTTAATTCGATCAATCTACCATGTTTACAGCTGTCTTAATGGCGAAGAAATTGTTCCCTGCGAGGGTGATGGTCTCAAACCTCATCAGAGCACTCACTTTCTATAAAAATTATAATCTGGGTAATTTTTTAATTGCGGCTTAGGATTTAATGAATGTTTAACTGTTTTCTAATTTGTCTCTTAATTAATTTGTTGATTTATGTGGGTTTCTTCTGGGTTTTGATATGAACATGTAAATTTTCAAGTTTTATTTTCTGGGGCTAAATTAAATATTCTGTGCAATTGAATCAAGATATTTGTCATATACAATTTTTGATACTTTTTAGCTGATTTTTTCATTTAATTAATGTTGTTCGGTTAATGTTTGGTTTTTCTGTTAATGGATTTATAATTATTTTATATATGCATTCTCTTATCCTTTTGAGGTCTGCTTGCTCTCAAGTCATAGAGATCAGCTAGAAGTGATTGTTTGAATGAGGTTTTGTGTTCACATCTTAGATTATTTGTGGCTTGTATGTGAGAGTATAGAGTTAGTGTTGCTACTATTGCTACTATTGTTAATTTGCTGCTGCCCCGTAGCCCATAGTCCCACAATCATGAACTTGCAGTCGTTTTTAGCTCATAGCCTTATACTTATTTAACTGGTTTGGATATACAATATCGAACTAATTATAAATGAATCAGCTTCTTAGGTCAATTTGGTTTCTTTGCTTCTATTGGATTTATTGATTTTTGCTTGATTGAATTGTTTAGTTGATATCCTTTTGGGATTTGTTAAGTTTTACATCTGCTTTTAGAATTGCTTTCTGATTTTGACCTTTCTTTAAGATGTGTTGTCTGCCCAACTCTTGTTAAATCAGCTAACTCTACCCTCGAGTCCAAAAGCTCAGCATGCTTTCTGATTTTGACCTTTCTTTAAGACTGATCTATATGCTCAAGGGGTTTCTAAATTTATCAGATCAACATACCCCATTTGCCTGTATCATTATTTTTAGCGCTCGGGGGTTTTTTCGGGAGATTCAGAGTACATTTGTTGAGATTTCTAGCATTTGGGGCTAATTTTCGGCTTGCTGGAAGCAAATCCATTAAAAAGTTAAAGCTGCAATTGTTGATGATCATGTATCAAATAGTAACAGAAGAATTTTGATACCACAGACATGATAATTGCATCGGAATATCCGTTACTATTTATCTGATACTATTGATTTTTCCGATACTATAGGCATCCCTTTTTAGTGTCGGATTGGATATCTGATACCAACCTATTAGCCGCGGAGGTACTAGTATCAGTTGAGTGTCGGAAATTATTTCCGATACTAATGACCTTTGGTATCGGAAGACAGCCCTTTAGTATCGCTTAATTTCTGATACTAAAGACCATTTTTCTAGTAGTGGTTTGTAATCTTGCACCTCGGGTATATCCTCATTATTGATGAATAATTTTGTCGCCCATAATGAATTTGATATAGAAACTTCATCTAGAAAAGTTATGATCATGGTAATTTGATTAATACAATTATTAAATTTAGACGAAAAATTACTTATCATAATTTAAATATATAAATATATACTTCCTCCGTTTTTTTATTATTGCACCATAGGGGTTGGGTACAAATATTTTGGTAGTTGAAAAAAGTAAGAGAGAGAAAGGTAAAAATACAAAATTACCCATGTGACATATTAATAAACTAAAAAGTATGTGTGAAAAAACAAGGGTATGTTGGGTATATGTAGTATGAACACAAATAATTTTTTTTCCTAAAGAGGAAATGGTGCAATATTTGTGAAACTTTCTAAAAAGACAAGTGGTGCAATAATAAAAGAACGGAGGAAGTATATATAATAAAATATCACCTCTAAAACTCTTAATCTTAGCAAATTGTAGTACTACAACTATGGGTCCTTGGATGTCATCTTTAGTAGTAGACTCCGAAAGTTGTTCAGCTTATTTTCCATACAATGTACCAGTCAACTTGTTTTTGCTACAAAATACAAGATAATTGTAATTGAAGTTAACACATAAAAAAGAGTATTAATATTTAAAGTTCCATAATACTTTTACCGTTTTTATTTTATTGCACCATTAGGACTTTTACACTATTCACTTAATCTTCTTTGACCATCATTTGTGATTTATACATTAGGAAAAATATAGTCATGTGCGATCTAGTTAGATTCATATCGAACTCTACTTTTCAAATATCAAAATTTTATAATTTTTACAAAACTATAATTGAAGATATTGATAACTAAAGTAATGCATTGGCAAGCGTGAAATCCCTTATGGTGCAATAAAAAAAGAACAGAGGAAGTATAAGTTAGTGCCTTATATGTATAATAACAAAAATCAATAATGTCAAATATATAGGCTAATTCGAATTGATGAATTTCTTACTATAAGTCTTCTAGCTAGCTTAATTGTCAATTTGTTATCTAGGGTATCAGTTTTTGAAATATTAATAAGATCACCCGTGCCGGTAAGCTCTCCAATAACATCTATAATTATTTATAAAACTATTAGTTGATAATTTTATAAAATACGAAATTTATAAAAGATGGTTAATAAATTGATATAATGTATCGTACCTACTAAAATCACCTCATTGACCTATTGTTTAAGGATTTTGTCGAAGGACACAAATCAAATTTGTATTGAGGAAGTTGTGCATCTTCACAATCCCTAACAATAGTCCTATAATAGAAGTTCACTTTATAGGCATGGCTAGTAGCCAAATGTTTCCAGTAATCATTCTGAAGCTAGAGATAATACAGGAAGTGCCTTCTTTCACAAGACCTTCAAATCGTCGAGTGAGTGATTCTTTGATAGTTGCTTGTATTTTAGATCCCTGCGTTTAAACATTATTATATCAAAATCAATTTTGCACTATAATTTATGAGTAAACATATTACAAAAAGTAAACACATCTAAAAGACCAAAACTTTATGAACCTATAATAGTATACCTTCTCATAACCTAAAACTAACTCAAGTGAGTTAATTTTTTTTGGATTGGAATAGTCAGGTTGGTACTATAGCCTCACAATACGAACTTTTGAGTTAAGCACAAATTCAGGTACTCAATTCTTCCTTTTTTCACCGTTTAGGTACTTAATTTTTTTTACTTTGCTTTTGGGTACTGAGTTAAGAATTCCGGCCAAAAAAAATAAATCAGTTAAGAATTCAGTACCTTTGGTTAAAGAATTCAGTACCTTGGTTAAGAGAAAGTGGGCCCCACCCAATTAAAAAAAATTTGTGGGTCACCCTTAATTTTTTTCCCTTTCTTATTCTTTATTACCCCTTTTTGCTTTGCGTCATTGTCGAAGAACACGAGCAAGCTTGGGCTCGATTCTTGGGAAAACGACACCAAAAGCCGCCATTTTTTTAGCTAAGCTTAATTACTCATGGATTATGTTGATATTTTGATATAAATTTTGAATTTTTTGCCCATTTCTTGATGTTATTTGCGACCTATGGTTTTCGATTTTTTGGGTTTTTTTTTTTTTGAACAAATTGATGATGTCGATTTCTTATGTTTTTGTGTTAAATTTGTTGCTTTGTTGTTGGATTAAGCTAGCAGCAGGGGAAAAACCTAGCAGCAGCTTCTGTTTCTGTTATTTATTTATTATTATTTTTTTTTAATTTCTAAAAAATCTGGGAAAACCTTGTTGAAGAATTTGTGCCTAAATAGACATGGTGAATGAACCTGTTTTGATGATATTTGTTGCTGGTGTACTGCTACAGCTTCTGCGTTGCTGTTTTTGGTTTTTTTTTTATTTTATTTTTTATTAAAATTGAATCAGGACAAATCTTTTAGGATGAATTTTGTTAAGAAAACATGGTGTGCTGCAAGTGTTTTGCAGGTGTTTTCATGGCATTTTTTGACCAAGTTCATGCCCCTTTAAATAGAGTAATAACGGCTAATATATGAGTCAAAGTTAAGAATTTTTTTTAAAATTTTAATTTTTTAATTAGGTATGGTTAGTGATGAGTTAGTGGTGAGTTAGTTCACCTGAAAATCACTTTGAGTACCCAAAAGCAAAGCAAAAAAAATTGAGTACCTAAAAGGTGAAAAAAGAAAGAATTGAGTACTTAATTGTACTCTTAACTCCGAACTTTTATTCTCCATGATTCTGTAAGAGGGGTAAGGTCAGATATCATAGTGAACGCCATTAACAATATATTAACCTCGATAATATGACCTTGAAATAAAAATTGTTACGACTTATATGACTAATATTATGACTATTATTTATATAGTTGATAATACAAATAATATTGCACCCGATTTTATTATTTGAATATTTATGATTTGATTTTAATATGTTAACTATATTTTATTTTTGCCGTTATTCGATCCAAATATGTAACCGAACATATTGATAAGTATCAATGTATTTTTATTGTAAATTAGTTATAGTTATTTATGCTTAGTGTATATTTGTCTTCCATTAATTGTAGGAAAATAAGCCTACATTATAGCTTACCATACGTAGCTTACAGTGTATATAATGTATTTGATAGGCTTGTTAATATTTGAGGAATTATCTTCTTTAAGAAATTTGAGGATATTCAAAGTATACTATTCTAATATTATATATAGGAAATTTACTTATGGTAATTTGCATTTGATTATATATATAATAGCCTTAGACATAAGAAATCTTTTATACATAAAATTGGGAAATTTATAAAAAAATCCAATGTATCTTAAAACGTAAGATAATATTCTACAAAATATCTTAGTATACTATTTTATTTCTTTTAATTTGACGAGTACTATCTTACCATAGTCACTTACATGCTAGATGTTATGTATTATTTATTATTATTTTTTTTTTAATTTTTTTTATATATATAGTATGATATTAAAAAATTGATTCCATGAGAATTTTTGTTAATTTATGTATTTATTTAGAATAAGATGTATAGAATTTTTATAAAAGATAGCGAATTATAATGAGACATTTGTCAGTCTCACATTGAGGAGCTTGTCTTTTAGTATAGTATATAGATAGATAGATAGTTTGGCTTGTGAGCTTGTCAATCTTTTGTTAAATATTGAAAGGCATTTAGACTGCAATTGTTAAGTTAGCCATATATATAACTAGATGAAACCCGTGCGATGCACGGTTTGTTAGTATTTTTTTTTTTTAAAAATATTTTTTATATTTATGTGATTAAAATTGTTATTATGTTAGTTTTAAAATATTAGATAAAATTCCTAATATCAAAAGATAATATTTTGTATTTAATTAATTTAAACTTTAAAATCTCATTCGTCAATTTTGCTTACGTGGCATTTGAATTATTTAATTGTAAAAGAAATTAATAATCTCTTTTTTAATTGGCTACCACTTAAATTTATAATCTTACATGGCGCACTAAAAAAATTAAATCTTACGCGGCTCTCTAAAAACTCGGGGAAAAACTCCCCTTTAAATATATATATTAGATGGTTGATTAGCTATTTTTTGGAAAATAATATTGTAGTACGGAGTATTATTTTTTTTTAAAATCTCTAAAATCACGCTAGTGCCATATTAATTGAATAGTTCATAGGCCATTGATTGTGTGTTGATATTTAATTAGTTGAATCCCATTTCTGAAGAAATACTTCAAGACATAAGCTTAATTGACATATATCGTTTCATAACGTAATTTCATATAATGTATATTATCATAACGACCTTCTGATGATAATATACATAATAAAGTCTTCATTCAGATCAATTATTAATAGTTAGATTGAATTTGTATTAATAATGTGATGAAAATTGTTTGAAGATAATAACATAAATATAATCATAAAAGTCCTAAGCATAGCATTCAATATGATTACAAAATTCGTTATAGTCATAAACAAATAAACAATAAATTTGTTTGTTATAGGTAATATCCCTATTGGTGAATACTAAATACCTTATATAAAAACAAGATTTGAATTTTTTTTTTCCGATCAAACAACAGGGTTTTGAATAAAATATTATATTTTACGGTTTTTTCCAAGATTTTCCTCACGAACCCAAATTATCGAAAAAGTGAAAATTTAAGATATTTGAATACATATAATCGTCGATTTCACATCCCATGATTGATAGTGTCCAATCAAATAATATTATTTTAGGATGGACTTTTTGTGAAAAACTACTTTATATCCATAAATTTTTGTGAAAAACTACCTTATAAAAAAATTGTTGTAAGAAACTACCTTATAAAAACTAAATGTTGTAAGTTGCTACCATGTGCTTAATTTAACAATGAAAGAGAAGAGGAATTAGGGGTTATAAGGGGGCTATGGAGATATTGGGTGGAAAAAGGAGAAAAAAATGATTGAAAATGGGTCATTAAACGTCTTTTTTTCAATGCATATAATTCGGCAAAAAGTAGCTTATTACAACATTAATTGTTTTATAAGGTAGTTTCTTACAACATCTATTCTTTAAATGGTAGTTTCTTACAACATTTTTTTAATAAGGTAGTTTTTCACAAAAAATGACTTGTATAAGGTAGTTTTTCACAAAAAGTCCTTTTAGGATTAAGAAACAACCCAGATTCGCACGAACCCCGGCCTGATTTTTAATGACAAAAAAAATCGCAGATGGGAGATCGAGGCAAGTGTTCATTCTCCGTCGATACGTGAGTGAATTTAAAGGACAAAGATCATGAATTGATAGTTAATTTCATCCATGGATGAAGAATGTTGAAGAACAATGAAGAATATTTTTTTGATTTTAAAAATTAATTATAATAATAAATATGAAAATAAAAAATAGATTTTCGATATATCAGATATTGATTATTGGAAAAAAGAAAAAGAATTAAAAATAGAAAAAAAAAATTAAAAAAGTAGTTTGAGCAAGTATTTAAAAAGGGAAAAACCAGACAATCATATTAAGAACAGTGATGGCCTTATTAAGAATGACCATTGTAGAATTTTTATTTGCTATACTTCCTTCGTTCTTTTTTACTTGACCTGCTTTGACTTTTACACTACTCACTACTCCTTCTTTGACCGTCTTTTGTGAATAATATGCAAGGAAAAACATATTCATGTGGAATATTTTTGGATTCGTCTCAATAAGTACTATCATACTATATAACTTTTTATAATTTTTACTTATGGAGAATTAATGATATTGATCGTTAAAGTTTTGTATTGACAAGCGTGATAAAAGAAATAGATCAAGTAAAAAAGAACAGATGAAGTAGCTTTTTGCTGTTTGACAAAATCAATACAACACTAGTTACTACTCCCTCTGTCCCTTTTTGTTTGTTCTCTATTACTCATGAATTTCTCAAATCTCAAACAAAGTGGGCCTATGGTACAAATTAAAGGCGACTGACGGAGTAAAATAGAAGTATTTAAAAAGAACAAGTATACAGATTTTGTGATGTATAGTGGTTAGACATGTCTTTGACTAGCGTTATAGAGCATTATTAAAACTAACATTTAAGGTCAGAATAACTAGTAGTTTAGAAATAGAATCCATATCTAACCCCTACAAAACTAACGTATGTATGGTCCGGTGGTGCGAACCGACAATAGATGCAAGGGCTATGTATCTTGGCAGATGGGGAGACCCATTAACGTAACATAGGTCATGGGCTAAAACATAAACATCATGATATGTTATTAGCTTCTTCGTACTACCTAATGTACTCTCCATTTCTCTTCCAAATTGTCAATACTACCTCCGGTCCAAATTACTCGCAATTTTGGGGTATTATTTGTGAGATATAAAATATTCCAAAGTTGCGAGTAATTTGGACCGGAGGTAGTATAAAAGGAATAAATTGAAAAGTCGAAACTAAAACACCTTCACGTTATACACTTTCCAGGGTTGACAAATAAAAAGAACAATCCATGCACATGCATGGATTAATATGGCTCTTCTTAATTTGATTTGTTGCTTCTACTCAAAAGGCTACAACCACTATTTGTACGTAATATCTATTTTCTTAAATAAAATCATTAAACACCGACATGATAGTTAAACACATATAGAAGATATGGATAAAAATTTGACACAATGAAAGTGCACACCAAACAATCTATATGTTCAACATTTAGGGATCTAGATAGATAGATTAGTGACAAACCGCGGAATATTTAATATGTGCTCATAGTTTTATTATACTCCATATTAATCGATTTTATTGAAGTATATTCGAGTAAATGTTTAACAAATGTTGTTAATGACATTCAAGAATAATTGTAATCCTGAATAAGAAATGTAACCCAAGATTGAAGCTATATATCAAAGATATACCAAGATATGTTAGGAAATTATTTAATGAATACAACTTATAAACGTGCTACTAAAGCTCAGGATGATTAATCTACCACAATCTACTTGTATTGCTACAACTCTAAGGT